ATATACAATTTTCATGAGTAACTCCTAAAAAGGAATTACTCATGTGCTCGTCAATAATTTATTTAAATAATTACAACCAGTAACTCGTGCCAATTAGGACCTTTCATCCACGGCATGATTGAACACTGGAGGGACCTTAAATAAAAACTCACGGTTTAAGAAATTTTGCGATTCAAAACACTCCTACTTCGCAGCAAGTATTGCAGTCTGACGATGGAAGACGATACTCGATTTGCCATTGAAGAAGATCTATCGAAGTTCCATCAAAGATCCATCGAAGAATTCATCCAACATCTTTGAAAGGAAGAGAATCCATGGTTATATCTGTAAAATAAAATAGAACAAAACGATAAGTTATCTGAAATATTATYCAAAATYATATAAAATAAAATCGAATAAAATGTAAATACAAATGAGTACTTACAATGCATTCCAAGAAGATGCAGCTCTATTGCACCATGGTGATGCATCTCGCGTGAATCTAAAAACGCGGTATAAACGAAAATAAGAAACTATAAATGAGTTTCTTATCGCTAAACTGAAATTTTATGATAAGATGAACAACACTGACTCTAATTCGCGTTTGATTTTAACTTATTACTCGCCCGATCACTGAATCTACAACGAATTCAAAGACTGCATTGCACGCAGTTTGATGATACCACCATAAACACTGCACATATTGCTTCGCGCATGATTGGAATCTAAAACAGAAATAAAAAACAATACTATTAATATCACTACTATTACAGAAAAGCATTAAATTTTTAGAGGAATTATTTAATAGAAAAATATACTTACTTTGATGAATGCACGATGAATGCACTATGGGTCTCCTACCCTTAGGATGACGATGTATAAAATAAAATTAAATAAAAAGTCTGAAAAGCTGAAACATACTAAAGATTATATTACAATATTTCCATTGCAGGAGAGAGATGGATAGAGAGAAATGGGAGGAAACGAGAATGGGTAGATTGAGGAAAAAAATGTATGAAAGAGCAGGACTAAACAGATGGGAAGCAGAGGCAAGAGATGATAA